CGAGGAAATTCATACATCCGGTTTAAAACAAATTTTTGAAGCTGCGTCACGGCCATGAGATCTTAGCATGTATTCCAGCGTGCAGACTGGGCGTCTGTGCCAGAGTGTGTCTTATTACGTCTCTGAGTGTGCTGCATTCATGCAGGAGTAAGACTTGGTTCAAACCAATCAGCGCGCTCTATTGTGTATGCGGTGCAGCTTCATTAATATGCATGATCGCTTCCAAGACCAGTTACAGTATTCAGACAGCACAGAGACGCCACGTTGTGTTGCCAAAACAAGCGGATTGAACAAAAATTGTTTGGAGATACGGGTCGTCAGTGTTGTGTTTATAATGTGCTGCAGTGAAGGTTTTGTTTTCATTTTCTCTCTATGAGAGCGCAGCTGGACTCATGTGTGGATCAGTGCACGTGACGCACGACAGAAATACGTGTCTAAGGGTGCGTTCACACCTGTGAAACGATTCAGTTGTTCTGAAACAGAGACAACAATTGTTATATTGTTGCTCTTTGCTCTTGGAGCGGTTCACTTTCACACTCCAAAGTTTCTAATCGGACCAAAAGAGCTAAAACAAGTCACGTGCGAGTAAACTCTCCTCACATTGGTCAGAGTGTCAGGGTTTATTTTGATTGACAGGGTGCGCGCGACGTGTCTGAGAAGAGATGCGGTGGGAAGGGGTGAGAAGAGTGCGTGACGATGCCTATTTGAGGACCGGGAGGTAGACGCGAGATTACCGGGAGATCATCACTCGTTTGCGGGCATCCGGAGACTCGCGAAACTTCCCGCCCTACTCATAATTCTCTCTTCATATAGCCGTAAGCCTATTACATATCCATAAACACTGTGATATAACCGCGCTCGGATCTGATCGCTTTCTCACCGCTCCAGGGTTCGTGTCAATCGAGCCGAGACCACCTCATTCAAGCGATCTCGGAGCGATTACTTTGGCGCGGAACAGAGCGCGATTACCCTGTTCACATATGCCAAACGAACCGCGCTAACTGGGCAAACGAGACACGTTCCCAAACAAAAGTGTAGGTGTGAAAGCACCCTAAGGAACATTGTTCACCCGAGAGCTGCTCTCATCTGGAAATGGTGAAATGCAGATTTGCTGCTCGTCTCCTCTTAATAAAGACGCGGCTCCAGTCGGTGTTGATTCTCCTGTCTCTACAGATTTGGTAAATAAGCGATCAGTGCTCTTTGTTTGTTTATTCAGAGGCAGAGTTACTTGGTATCGTCATCAGTAGTCTTACAGTGTTTAAAGACGGATTTTAGACAAATGATTTCTAAGTTAATGAAGTTTACAGTAGGTTAGCATCACTACAATGTTACAGACTGAGAGATCTGCTGGAAATGCTGCTCTCCCGAGAGTAAACATGTAAACACCGCAATCAAACTATTACCGTCACGGAGGATTTTCACCGCATTTAGTGACAGGAATAACACACACAGCTTTCTGACGCTACCTGCCGAGTGCATCTGAGTTGCAGAGAAATGCAGAGGGTTTATCTCTCATTCGCTGTGCAGTAACAAACTACACACTCACAGCAGCTCCTCGATTATAATATCTCGTTTGTCACGAGGGGCATGAATGAAATCCCTGAATGAAAGAGCCAAACTGCAGTTAAAGTGCACTATTTAATAATTTGCCAAATAATTGGATGACTGATGTCCATGTAGACACAGTCACTGTCTTTCTCCTCTGCATCTGTTTGCTTTGCTTCTGTGAAAATCAGCGTGTGCCCAAACTGACACTCCCATTTTTATGCAAATTTTTTACAGACCTTTCCCTCCTCCGATAACTCCCCCTAAACAGAGCTGGACACGCCCACTTTCCTGACTTTTTCCAAAGTAGAGGTGTGAAAACACCCTGCTGAAACACGGGGGTTTCAAGGCCCTTTAAAGTACACATGACAGCAAAACTAACCACATTGATTTTGCTGTAGTTTGTGCTGAACAGATCATCTGTGCATGACATTAAGAACAAAATGGTTAGCTCTCTGAGATCTGGGGGGTTCAGGTGAAGCGCAATGTTTATGTAAAGCCAGGGGGAGGAAGTAGCGTCATTGATTTGGGGAACAAAACCTTCATTGCAGCACATTTATAAAAGCAACACTGACGACCCGTGTCTGCAAACAATTCTCCTTCTCCCACTTGTTTTGGCAACACAACATGGCGTGTCTCTGCCGTCTGAACACTGTACAGGTAAAGCAGTCTTGAAGCGATCATGCATATTAATAATAGAGCGCTCTGATTGGTTTGAACCAAGCCTTTATGAATTAATGCTGAAAGCTCAGAGACGTCACATTGCACTCGCCCGCACAGACGGCCAGTCTAGAATACACACAGGGATCTAATCATCGTGACGCAGCTTTATTGTCACGAATTTACTGAAAATAGCGCAAAACAACCAATGTTCACTCATTAGTGCGATATAAGTGTCCTCATAGTGTTTATAGCAGTGTGGGACGCATATCTGACTGTCAACAGCTCAACACATGTGCTCTGGTGTTTCCTGACCCTTTAAACTGCAGCAACTCTCTCTGCCTCTGTAAAACACACACCTGACACAGCAGGACACGTCTCCTGGAGAAGCTCCAGATCATGATCTGATCACAGAGTTCCTGATGTGTTAAAGTGTGCGTCACATCAGACTGAGCAGCGCTTATAATGACCCGCCGTCAGCTTCTCCTGGAGATGTGTGCTGCTTTAAGAGTGTCGGTGTGTGTGCAGGTATGCGGTGTGTTTTCTCCTCTGGTGTGTGTGTTTCTCGTCTCCGCTGAACTGCAGGATCGTGAGTGTGTGTGTGTGTGTGTTATCAGCGTCTGCATCGGCTCGTGTTGACTTTACGCTGAGATTCTGAGCCTCAAATAAAGGCTGAGCTGCGTTCACAATCATCAGAGGAGGATCTGAGCGTCTGCTGATGCCTATCTGAGGGCTACACACACACACACACACACACACACACACACACTGTACTGCTGTGCTTATGATGGATCACGGCCACATGTTTCTGCTTCTGACACACACACACACGCGCACACTCACACACACGCACACACGCACACACACACACACACACACCTGCAGACATTCTCTGTCCCACACAAATATGCAGAATGTGTGTAAACAAACAAACAAATGAAGAAAAACACCTGCTGTTTACATCTGTGTCCTGCTCATTTGTGCGCGCACACACACACACACACACACACACACACACACACACACACAGTTTTTTACGTGTGTGTGTGTGTGTGTGTGTGTGTGTGTATTTGCAATGAGTTTTCTATTTACTCATGTTGTGCATATATCTGTGTGTGTGTGTATGTGTGTTCTACCCGTGTCATGTGTTTATGGATGTTCATGTGCGTGTGTGTTGTTGATGTGTCTATGGCTATGTGTGTGTTGCACATGTGTCTATGGGTGTGTGTGAGTGTGTTTATGTGTCTATGGTTGTGTGTGT